CTCTTGCCTAGAAATACCATGCATCCCACCTTGACTTTCTGGGAAGAACGGAAAGCTACAAATGTAATAAAATAGGTATCATTTGAGCCCAGAGAAAGCTGATCCAGAAAGAGGATGAGGTAGATTATTCAGATTAGCAAATTAACTCTTGACTGCATCTGATGCTTTGCCTACTCTATAAATTCATAGATCAGTATTTCAACCCAGCTTAAGCTCAAAATGCTGCTTAATGGGTTGCATGAATGCATGCATGCTGATGGGATTGTGGGCAGCCACTGGGAGCTCCTTTCCATGGAGCCATCATTTTTCTGTCTGAGTATAGGACATTGTCGCATGGGATCAGACAGGCATACCAGGCCAGGGTGTGGGATTAGACCCTATAATTAGAAAGGGAGGGTGCAGTCACAAAGAAAGTGAGATCCAGGTGTGCCCAAGAGCTGCCTACCATCTGGTGATGTAGCATTAATTTCCATGTAATTCAAAGAATAATTACAGAAACACAATCCAGCACTATGCATCCACTACCAACCTGACCTCTCAGAGGCATTAATCATATAAGCCAGCCTTCCCCAACCTGGTGGCCTTCAGAGGTATTTGGGCCACAAATCCCAGAATTCCCATCCAGCAGGACCTTTAACTGGGAATTCTGGGTGTTGTAGTCCAAATGTGCCTGAGACAAAGCCATCTCTGATTTTAGAAATGCATTTAAATGCTAATAAAATGCTGATTTTATTAGCATTGTGTCAAATAACAAAATTGAATGATACCATGCTGGGGAAGTCACGGGGGTGGCACAAATACAACCCAAAGTTTTAACAACTGATCAGATCCACTGTAAATGTGGATCATAAAGGTTGGAGAATGGTAAATAGCTGACTTGACTGAGCCATCACATGTGTGACTTAACTAGAGAAACCATTTCCCATTAGCCCCAGTCAGCATAGCCAACAGTGGAGAACAATGGGATTTGCAGCCTAATGTCATCTGGAAAGCCACATAGTCACAAACCCTGGTCTAAGTAGATGGGTTATATACTAAAATAAAATAAATGAATAGTAGTAACAGGAAATGTTTGGTTAAAGGGGCCTATTTTCCAACTAATCAAAAGCACCAGCGCAGCTGAAGCAGTTTATCAAGGATTTTCAGGAAGCAGCAGCTAAAGTAGTTCCAGGTTCTTAGAAGAAAATTTCCATCTGTATTATGCAGCCAGTACCTGCATAGAGTAAAGGAGGAGAAAGCCAAACTTCCAAAGCCCGTATGCATATAATTCCAGAGCCTGCCCTGATGTTGGTGACAAGGCCATATTCAAGATTGGAATACTTTCAATCTGATAGGAGGTCATAATGACAAGTCAGCTCTCCATTAAGATGGTCCACCCCCAGAGGCTGACGGATCCATATGGTTTCCAGAGGGCCTTGGAAGATTTTCTGGCAGATATGGCTGGTGGTTCTGTCAAATCCCTGGCTGATCCCTAGAATACAGAGATGACCTGGGTGGTTAACACAATCACTCCCGAGTGCCCTCTCTGTAGTAGAGCTATACGGCTCCATGGTATACCCCAATGCTGAGAGTGATGAAATGATTCAGGAGACAGCTTGAGTGCGGATGGAGGTAACTCCTGGTGAATACAATCGAGTCCTGGTTTGTGCTTACAGCTGCACATATTTACAGGCAGTGAGACCAACAAAGAAGCAATACCTGATTGCCTCCATTTGCTGCCAAGTGGAGCTCTTCCGGTTTGTCTGGGGCCTATTAGATGCTGGCTCTAAGGACATCTTGGTGCTGTCTGAAGCCCACTGTAATATATTCACTAGGCACTTCCAGCACAAATCTCTTGTATTTGCCAGGACTTGGACTCCAATGTTAAAGCAGTGAAATCAGGTGAGATATCCAGAGCACAGTCTGGTCTACATAAATTGGATGGGCTCCAGTTAGTGCAGCAAAAGGATCTTGACAAGGTGCTTGGACAGGTTCATGCAACCATGTTCATACTGGATCCTTGCCCCTCCTGGCCAATAGAAGCTAGTAGGAAGGGAATTGCTGGCTGGGAGAGAGAGATGATTAATGCTTCTCTACAAGGAGGAGTGGTCCCAAGCCACATGAAACAAGTAGTGCTGAGACCATCCTGAAGAAATCCTTCCTGGACCCAGAAGAACTCAACAATTTCAGGCTGGAGGCAAATATCCCCTTCCTGAGCAAGGTTCTTGAGTGGGTGGTGGCCAACCAGCTCTAGGCACTCTTGGATGAGTGTGATTATCTGGACCCATTGCAAGCCTGATTTTGGCATGTAAACAACCTTGGTTGCCCTGCATGATGACCTATGCCAGGAGAGAGAAAGGGAGAGTGCAACCCTGTTGGTTCTCCTGCACCTCTCAGCAGCTTTTGATATCATCAGCCATGGTATTCTTCTGGAGCAACTGACTGAGCTGGGAGTGAGGGGCACTGCGCTGCAGTAGTTCCACTCCTACTCACATGGTAGGCTCCAGAAGGTTGTACTTGGGAGATGTAGTTCTGCCCCATGGATTCTCCAATATGGGGTTCCCCAGGGGTTTGACTTGTCCTTGATGTTGTTGAATATCTACATGAAACTGCTGAGCAAGGTCATCCAGAGTTTTGGACTGTGTTGTCATCAATATGCTAATTACATGCAGCTCTATGTGCATGGGGATGTGCTGAACCAGTGTGCGGCTGCAACAAGGGATTGGATGAAGGCTAACAAACTGAAGCTCAATTCATTCAAGACTGAGATGCTACGAGTGAATGGTTCTTCTGATCTGATGAAGGGAATTCAACCTGTTCTAGATTGGGTTGCACTCCCCTTGAAGGAGCAGGTTGGTAGCCTGGGGGTGTTCCTTGAGCCATCTTTGACACTTGAGGCCCAGGTGGCTTCAGTGGCTCAGCTATGCTCCTCTCTAGACAGAAATGGCCTGCTATCAGTGATCTATGCTCTGGTAATCTCTAAACTGGATCACGATAATGCACTCCATGTGGAGCTGTCCTTGAAGACTGTTCAAAAGTTGCAGCTTATGCAAAATGTGGCAGCCAGACTAATAATAGGGATCAGACGATCTGACAGTGTAACACAAACTCTGACCAACTTGCACTGGCTGCTTAGACCCTTCCAAGTCCAATTCTAGGTGCTAGTTTTAACCTATAAAGTACTACATGGCTTGAGACCATGATACCTGATGGAACGTCTCTCCCAGTTTTCTTCTACCCAGACACTACAGTCAAGTTCTATCTCCACCTACCACCTCCAAGTGAGGCTTGGTTGGTGGCAGCAAGGAGAAGGGACTTTTCAGTGGTGGTCCCCCAGTTATGGAATGAGCTTCCCACTGAGGTCCACCTGAAACCAATCTTACTATCTGTTTGGTGTCAGGTAAAGACTCATCTATTGCAGGGGATTCAAGTAGCTTCTTGAGGCCAGCTAGCTGCTAACAGGTCTGAGCATTCTTCTCCTTCTCGGCATTATTAGATATGGATACAGAGGTAAAAAAAACAAGCAGTGGAAATGCAACCAAGATGCACCAGGCTTCCATGTTAAAAAGATATACACTTGGCTCCTTTGGAACTGATAACTTTTTCAGGTGTGACAGAGCAAAACTAGTAATTTGACAATGAAACTGGTGCTACCTAAAATCCTGGAAACATTTCAAGAATATAATTCTCCCAAAGAATTTTCTCCTTTTTTCTGCAAACAGGGTCTGTATCATTTAAGGATGCCCTATTGGCAGGCATTCAGCAGATGTAATTTCTGTTGAATGCAGAACAGTGATGCTATAGTAGGAAACACTGCACCTGTTGAGTTTTTGCCAGCTAGACAGCTTTGAAAGTTGCAACATCTCTGGGACCAAAGTCTACTGGCAAAAGCATGACGCTACTTTTTTTGCCTTTGTATATATTCTTCTTGAAAATCTAATAAGGTTTTAGTTTAAAAAAGGGATCCAAGCCACCTTTTCATAGAAGAAAATAACCTAGGTGTTTCCACCTGGAAGGCTCCGAGTGAAAAGAGCTGTTCCATCTTTCTCTGAATTACTAGAACTTGTATAGTAAGAAGGGAAAAAAAGATCAAAGTAGTGGGAAAATGTGGGAGAGTTACAAATAGAAGACAAAAGCTGTCTCAATCCCCCACCACCTGGTAAAATTCTGTGAATGAGACAGAGAAGCTGCACAAAAACATCTCATTTGGTGGCACCCACAACTCTGTTATGGCCCCCAAACTGGGGTGACAGCTTCTCCTTCAGCCAATTCCATCGTTGAAGTATCCCTAAGACACTCAAAATGCAATCATCCAATAGATACCTACTCAGAAGTAAGCCTGATTGAATTTCTTGAGGTTTAGTCTCAGACATAGGAAGGCTGCAAATTCAGACACCTCCAACTTAGCATATTCCTGGAAACAGCATCTGAATCAGCACAGCTGAAATAACTCCTCCACAGTCTCTGTGTGCCATGTAAAACTGTGAATTCTGAGGAGGCGGCTAGGGGCAGGTGATTATTATTACTATTATTGAATTACATTTATTGTTATTACCGCTTGAGATGTCACTCAGAATGCAGAACTGTCCCGCACGATCTTTGAGAAGGAAGACCCCAGAGCATTTATCTCCTCTCACCTATGAACTCACCAGGTGGCTTCTCTCTCTCTTTCGGCCTCTTTGGCCAAATGAGGGCGGGCATAATAATTTACTTATAAGGACGTGAAGCAGTCCTCCCCAGCCTGGAGCTTGCCAGAGATCTTAGATGACCATCTCCTGAACTGCTGACCGCTAGCCACGCTGGCTGGGGTCGCTGGGAGTTGAAAAAGGGCACCAGGCTGGGGAAAGCTGCCGTAAAGTGTTTCTCAGATGTTGAGAAAAGTAAACTCTTCTTAGTTCTCCTTCGCACCCTCAATCCGCGCGTCTCTTTCGCAGGTTCGCAGCTCCAGCCGCTGTGCTGGAGGGTCATACTAGATGCCCCCCCCCTGCTCTGGAAAGCCCCCGCCCGCCCCCCGTGCCTACCTTTCAGCTCAGCGCAGTCCAGCATTGCTCCTGCGTTGCCCTTGGGCCCCGAGAAGCTCCTCTGCAGCATCCTCATGCGGACTTGCTCCTGCACCCGCGCACTCTTGAGCAGCTCGCTGTCCTGCGTCTCCCGGGCCTTCCTGTCCAGCTGCTGGTCCGAGGGCAGCGCCAAGGAGCACACGCCATTCTCCGGCTGCAGAGCCGACAAGAAGAAATTACTTTCCTGCATGGTGGTGGTAGCTGGGCAAAGTCAAGGGTGCATTCACGCGGCCTGTGCTCTTCCTCAAGTTGCCCTGCCAGGGACTGTGGAGGCGGCCTTGCCTGCACCAGGGACAGCCAAGCTCCTAGGGGCGTCCCTCAGCGGCTCCTGCGCGCTCTCCTCTGAGCCTGGCCAGCGGGTGCTTCTGCACAGGTGAGGCCGGGGTGTGCCTGCCAGACGTTCCCTTTGCCTCAGTCAAAAAGGAGTTGCTCCACTCAGGGCGCGCACACGCGCAGACACACCCAGGCGCCCTCCTCTTCACCCACGCCATGCTCCGAGCGTCGCTTGGTTTCCCGGGCGGGACTCTCCGTCCCTCCCTTGTACTACTCGCAACATCTACGTGGTCACACCCCTCTCTTCCCGGCAACTGCTATCAGCAACAGGCAGGTTGTAAGGCTGAGCAGTTCCACCTTAAGCAGGTGAGGCATTTGGCAAGCGGGAACTTTTAAGGTGGCCTTGCAAGAGAGCACAGAAGTCAGGCTCGGCCTAGTCCTGCCCTACCCTGCCCTGGCCCTGGCCCTCGTCAGCTACTGCGTAAATTAGCCAGAGCCGTACTGGGTGCGGCGGAGCCTTCAGGGCTAGAGGGGGATGCGTGCGGTGCTGTCCTCATTCCGACGCTTGCTCTTCGTTTGTAGCCAAAGCTGAGCTCTGCGGAAATTGTTCTCTCGCCTTGTCCTTCCAGCTAGGCTGCCCTGCCTCTGCCCAGCGCTGAGCTCCTCGTCAATAAAATGCAAAATGCTGGAGGGAGAGGGAGAGCGCGAAGAGGGAGAGCCCTCAGTCCAGTCCAGTCCAGCCCAGCTTTGTTCCCTCCCAGCTTGGGAAAGGCAAGCACTGCATAATACGCATTCCAACTGCTGCGCGGTCATGGGCTCCGAGGCGAGCAGCTCTGGCCCTTGACCAGAGGCAGGGCAAAGTCCAAGAGCTCTCGCTGTTTTCCTCGCCCAGAATCGCAGCAGGAGGAGGCAGCTCGAAAGGCCAGGCCCTCTCCCTCCCAAACTTGTAGTTAGGCACGTTAGACGTGCTAGAGACACGACCTTCGGAACAGCTGTGGTTGAAGCAAGCGGGTGGGCCTCAGAGCCTATTGACCTGTCATCAGCTGCATCCAGTTCTCTCTCCAAGAAAAGTATCTGGTGGGTGAACCTAAACATGCAGACGCAGAAGGGGCTTTAGCTACAGGTTTTCTCTCCATGCAGCATACTGCATCACAATTGCTTACCAACGTGCAAGAGTAATGCAGGGGGAAACACCATTTCTTTCCTCCTTTGAAAGGTACACTGCACTTTGCGGAGTGTAGTGTCCAGTAATGCTGGCTGATTAATGTCTTCTATGCCATCTTTCTGGAACCAACCAAATGGATTACGAAAACATGCTGAGCTTCAGAAGACTCTGGGCAGAGGCAGTTGAAAGAAGAAACTAACTTCCATCAGCTGGGACAGAAAGGACTTCTGTTAACTGCAACCTGGGCAGAATCTTAAAACTGTACGATGTAAGCCCATTTCTTTCTTCACCCTTTTATTGTGCCCATGCTATTTGCTTTGCATCTCAGACCTGATAAGATGGCCATACAAATCTTCCATAACCATCATCACCCAGCCAATTAAAATCCTGACATGGATTCTTGCACCTATTTCCACAGGTTTCTGCTATTTGCCCGTGTGTGTGTGTGTGTGTGTGTGCACACGCATGTACATGCATGTCTGTACATGCAAACTAAGGAAAGGAAGGGAAAAGAGGCAGGCTTAAACAGTCTGCTAAAACTGGCTAGTAGTAAACAGCATGTGCCATATAATAAGAGACTGGCATAAGAAAAACCCTGTTTATGATCTGTGTAGGTATGAGTGCCACATCAAAGTCATAGGCCTATATTTGATTAAATTATACCTAGCTACTTGAACATATTTACATAGCTGTCAAAAGATAGTCCCCAGCTTCAGTTTGGGCAATAAAAGGCTATTGAATAATTGAACTTGATGGATTACTCAGTCATGGTTGCTGCTGTTGTTTTTTCCCCAGCCTTTAAAAGTGTATGGCAGGGGTGGAGATCCTCTTTCAGCCTAAGGGTCAAACTCATTTTTGAGAAACCTCTTGGGGGTCATGTTCCAGGAAGGGCAGGGCAGAAGCCGAGGGTTCTTTGACAGGATACAACCCCCTAAAGTTGGCATGCTGTATATTAAAGCTTTAATGCAGGTAGCTAAGCTTTAGGAGAGGAATTGACGTCTCTTAGAATGGGCAGAAAATGTGCAAAAGCCAGAAAACAAATCAGTGCTTGGAGAAAAGGGCTGTAGCCAAGGGCAGGACCCCAGAGGACTGGATTTGGTTTCAAGGCTTGAGGTTCCCCACCCCTGGTGTATGAACCAGATGCACCAACCACTCAGGAGTCTGCCTTTAGTCTTGCATATTAACAACACCTGGTGCAAAGGGACTTTTGGACTTGATGATCGCCAGATTTCTAACAATAGCATCTGACTAGCAGTTAGTAGAACCAGACCATCCACTCTCCTCTCACACAGTACTGGGTGGACTTTAAAGGCAGCAGCATTTTCTTCATGTAAATACACCTGGCTGAGGCTTGCTGGGACAATCATCCAAGCACACAACATGCCATGAGATGGTTTTCCCTTGGGTGGTCTCCTGTAGCCAAATGATAATTCACTACATTTTGTAAAGCACTGTCTGGTGTCCTGATGAAAGACTATTTGGACATGTGTAACATTAATCATCATGCAACTGGGCCCAGCCCAGCGTAGCTTTTTAAATTCGGCATAGTGCAGCGCAACACAATGGAGGATCCAGCTATTAAACTCTCTGTGACTAAGTATGAATAATCTCCCAGGGTTAACAAAGCACACCAACTCAAGGGGACCCTATTAACAAGTTTCATTCTGTTTACTAGTGGAAAACTGAGGCATGCCATGCAGTCAGAAGCAGTGCAAGGCTCACTATGAAACCATTTCTGGTACTGTGCTGGGACATTTGCCCTCTTGTGTGCCAGCCTAAGGACATTAATTGTAGTTCATATCCCCCATCCATTTTAATAAATAATAATGCCTTAGATAGGGGCAGGGGGAGCAGGAATGGACATGTTTTATTCTTCCTTGTTTAGTCATGAAAATTATTAATGCAATCAGTGTGACATTCCCGGCAGATGCTAAATTATATGGGAAGTAGCTTTTGGTACAGTGGACTTTTGTCTGCAAAAGCCTGGTAGCAAATGATGTCCCCCTCCCCACCCCATGAAAGATGTGTCTGCTGACTTAGCCTAAGGAAATCCTGTGATATCATTTGCTCATGATTCATTGCAAGGAGATGAATGGTTCTGTGGGAGGCACCTTCTGATAAAAGGTCAGCCTGGGATGACCATGCATAAACATGCCTTTCAGTCATGGATTCAGCTCATGCTCTAATCTGGGACAAAAATCTCTGATTCATCATAGGCTCCAGACAAAGCCTGCTCTAGGTGTTATGTTTGCTGATCCAGTGTTCCTTGCATATTTGAGGCAAACAAGATCATGGCAATCCCATTCCCTGGATTGCCAGTGCAGGTGAGGCAGTACAAAAGAGAGACCTCTCCTTGTGGCATGTTTCTCCAACTCTCCAGTTTAATGCTACAGCTGTAAACAATCCACCAGGAAAGCTGCTATGGAGACAACATCTTTCCACTACCTTCTACAGAGCCAGTGTGGTTTAGTGGTTAGAATCTTGGACTGGGGACCCTGGAGACCTGGCATCTAGTCCCCACTTGGCCTTGAAGCTCACTGGGTGACCCACTAGGGACTGAGTGGCCAGTCAAAGACTCTCTCAGCCCAACCTACCTCACAAGGTGACAGTTGTGAGGATAAAATGGGTCTATGTGACCTTCCTTGGGTTCCTTACAAGAGGAAAAAAGGTAAAATAGAAATGCAATGTGGTGATAATCATAATAATATAATAAAATTTTAGTTTAGGTGGTGGGAAGCAGCTGAACATTGGCCCAACCTTGGGCAGCAGATTTCAGAGATGTGTGTGGCAGAAAATCCTTTCACTCTCCTGGTCTCGTGCCATCACCCCTCTTGCTGAGTTGCCTTATGAAATCTCCATGCTATCATCAGGAAGTAGGAGGCTGGCAGGGTAGGGGGAGTGGTCAAGAGAAGGCCGTCCACAGAATACATAGAGGTGGGACGGAACTTTTGTTTTTCATGTTACTGTGCTGTGAGCAGCCTCAGAATGGATGACCCTGAAAAGTGGCCTATAAAAAACGAAATAAAAAAGGCAATAAAACAATGTCCTAGTTTGCACAACATGGCAGGTTCTTGTGGATTAAATAACGCACAGTAAGTTGTGCTGCATGCTGAGTATTGGGTTTGTGCCATTTGGTATGAACCCAGCCACTGTGAGTCAAACAGTCCTCACATAACTTTTGGACTGCAATAGGATTATGCAAGGGTTGTTTAACCCTCAAATAATCCATGGTAGTCGGTTCATATGACATGGCAGAACCCCTGATTGTCCCATCAAAATGGGATATTCAGAATGCTGTCTGACATGCACTGGGGTTCATCATGGGTTATTTAACCCATGATAACTACCATGGCATATGAACAAGCTCAATGTCAAGTGACTATGAGAGTAAGGAGGTGATCCTAGTTTCAGAGAAAATGCAACAGTAAAATAGTGCCGAAACTAGTGCGTCCTTATCTTTTAAAGCAGAACCATTTGGCTTTAGGGAAAGTGAGCTTGCTAGGCTCTGTGTGCCTTATAAACCGATCAGGATGTGCCTTTGTACCGCTGTCATCTTGTGATCTGCTGCTTGGAAGAATGCAGTGTGAGCCGCACTGGCTTCTGTAGTTTGTTGCTGTCATTCCACTTCCTTGTTGTGATGCCAAACTGGGGAAACGTGTCTCTGTGCTCTAACAAATAGAAGAAACTGAGTTGGTTGTGCCAGCTATGAGCTGTTGATCCTGTTAGTCCATTTGAATTAGTAGCGTGCAGCA